CAGGGGGAGGTAGGAGGTCTCGTCCCAGAATATGGTGACCGAAACCTCGGAAAAAGACACGTGTGCCCAAGTCTCAATGCTGTACTGCTAGAAGGTGATGGTCTATCGCTGCCGGTACGAAAGAGGCAGGGAGACGGTCCCAGAGGAGTTCGACGACCTTCGCTAACAGCCTGGTGGCTTTTTCCACGCGCTCGGCTTTAAGAACAGGGCGGCACCTCTTCAGCCGGAGCGCAGAGAGGTTAATACGAGCAGGAAACTCACTCCGCGTCTTCTGGGGGCCGACGGGGGGTGAAAAGAACAGTGACCATCAGAGAAGAGGGAGAGGAAGCAAGAAAGAGAGTGAGTCACTGAAAGGGATAGAGAGAGAGACATAGGGAGAGAGAGAGATGGAGAGAGAGAGAGAGAGAGAGAGAGAGAGAGAGGAGACTCCACGCTTTATTTCGGATTAGGATAAACTTAGAAAAATAGTACATAATTTGCACACAGTACTTATTTTTGATGAGGACATTCTTTATTAAAACTAGTATAACACATAGACCCACAAATATACAGTATATTTCTTACAGACACTTTTACTGATGCTGTCAAATTGCATTGCTTTATGGGGTTTCACTGTCTGGGTCCTTAAGTAGGCTAATGGTCTGATCAGCGTCATCTTAGTTACGCTAATTAATATTCTGAATTATGAGGATGAGTCTACTTGTCAGGGTCATATCTATGATTATCAGATTGTTATAGAAGTCGTTTCCATTTCGGGCTACACGTGACTGCAGTAAGCCAGTCGTAATCGGGAGCGTATGAAAATATGAAGGTTTTTTTAATCTCCAGCTCCCGGGTTGTAGGCTGCGTAGGGTAGCAAATAAATTAGCTAGGCTACATTACATCAACTACTTTTTGAAAGTAATTTACTTAAACAAATAAAATTGCGATTTATCTATATATGCAAAAGTAATAGCAGTTATAGCCTATACGTAACAGGAAGAAGTTCAGAAAGTCATCTAAAATTTGCTGCAATATGAAACGAAGTATTTTATTTGCCTATATTAGACGGTGCCCATAAAGTGAAACGATGCTGGTTTTTGTACTACTGACTACCCGGTAAAGGAGTTAAAAATATTTTCACCAGAAACGATGTCAACTAAATGCGTTAACTAGTTCATGTAGCTGGGGATATTTTATGTTAATTCCAGGTCTTTATTTTTTCTCGTTTTTTATCAGCAGCATTTGATAAATATGAGTTGTAAGGAGGAGAAATATTGTATATTTCTAAATTGATTTATTTGAAACGTAATGCGTTAAACCAGTTTCTGCATCCAAGCAACAAAATCACCCTAACTTCATCACACAGCCAAAATAAAGAACAGACGCTGAGTATGAAAATAACCCATTTTGAAGCACAAATTTAATGCTATGCAAGCCTTTTATACTTTTATGAAATAAACATATTTTTCCAAGGACAATTCTCTCTTTTATTGTCCAGGCTTAATGAGGATGTTTTAGTAAATGAATAATTTGTCTTTTCGGTTTTTTTGTTCCTTTCCTATGGCAACACAGAAAACTCTCAAGTAAAAACACCATTACAAAATAGTGAAATTGAGAAATAGTAATTACAATTCTGAGATAAAAATTGCTATAGGTAGATTAAGAAAAATGGTTGGTGGTGGTGGGGGGGGGGTGTTTGCATGTTGTGCAGAGTTCCCGCAGATTCTCTGTTTTTTATACAGTCCTAAGACATGCAGTTAGGGTAACTCGTGTAAATTAAATTGCCCGTAGTGTATGATTATGTGTTTGAGTGTTGTGGGTATGCAGCGGCATGGGAGAGAGTTTCACATGGGGGGGTCAAAATTTAATAATTTATATGGATGGATGGATGGAGGTTAGACTCTCCAAACATACCTCCCAGATACCCGAGAATAATCTGCAAGGATAGGGGTGATAGTTTGTGATGCTTGGAAATTTCAATACATATATGATTATCTATTTGAATGATCAAGGTCTTTCGCATTCAGATAGGCTGATAGGGCCTATGCATTTTCATATTAAGTAGGCCCTATATGAGAAAACCTCAACTGTCAAAAAAGATGTAAAGTGGGTTATACAACCAAAATGTTCACCACACTGCAAAATTTTACGGAGGAGTATATCACACATTGTACTCTACTTGCTATCCCAGCTGAGGAGGCAGGTCTAGTGATTCACCTCCTGTTGAATCGCTTGCCGCCGTTTAAGTTATGCTCGCAAGTAAATTTCCTTTTAAAAAAACCCTCTTCTTAACCCGGCACTGTTTTCACAAAATACACCGAAGGTCACGTTAGATAATAAACTGTCTATTCAGCTCGAAAACTTAGTAAAATAATTGCATTGTTAAATTTAATGGAAACTGTATTTTAAAAGTTGAAGTATGACGGATTTCAATGACTGGAGGTTACAGGTACATATTACTGCGGGAATGGCACCCCTAAATCACCGAAGTGCATCAGGATAGCATTTGTGTTTCAGATGCAACTTCTTCCGTTCTCCAGCGGCATGTAGGGCAATCTGGCATCAGCGTGTCACTGAATCCTTACGTATCTGCACTAAAACGCATATTTCAAGAGAACGAAATAATTCCGATTCGTTCTTTTTTGTTCACATTGTATGGTTCTTTCAAGAGCGAGCTATATCATGCCTTCATGACAGAAGATGCCATCTCTTTCGCCACCTACTGGCGTAATTATGTACAGACGTTTGAAAGACGAAATATGGCAAGTTAATTAAATAGCCTATAACCAGGGAGATTCAATCCTATATGCGACATAGGCGGTCGCCTAGGGCGCCAAATTACGAGGGGGCACCGACTTGCCAGGCAATTTCACTTTGCCTTGGATGGGGGGCGCTGGTGATACTTGCCTAGGCTGCCACATCAGTTAGGACCGGTACTGAGCAGGATATAGAATACATATAAAATGCGCATAAAACGCTACAGTATTTTAAGCATATATAAAATATAACTGATGTAATCAAAGTTACACTGTTATAAATAAAAATATTTTAGTATCATCTTATTAAACATAAAAAGAAAGTATGAACAAAAATCAATGAGCCATTATTTTAGTGCAGTGTTCCTCGGTTCACATTTTTGCTCCCTCCCAGCTCCAGCACTCACGTGCGAGGTATTCTGTGTTCTTGATTGGTTGGTTTAGGTGTGCTGGTCGCTGGGAGGGAGCACAAATGCAGACTATTTGAGTGTCCCCAAGGACTGGATTGAGAATCACTGTTTTAGTTGAATGTGCTGGAAAGAATTTATTCACTGATACTATTTGTAATTTCCATCTCTGCTCTGACCCACCCGTTGCTCCCAAACCTGGGAATAACTTACAGAATCCCTTACAGATAAACATTCAGGGCATATAAAAACATTATTAACGCCAACTTCATGCACATCCTGTCAAATTTGCGTTGTTTATGTTAAACAGTTATTAATTAGACAGCAGATGCTTGCTTCTGGCAGTAAGGCTTTTCTCTGACTGTTGGCCGGTTATCAAAACTGCAATGTCAAACAGGGGAGTGTGTTCAGGTTTTTGCACATGGAAGCAGTCAAATCCATAACTTAGGCCTACTGTTCATATGTTTAGCTATAATAAAAAGCAGGTCTTTGCAGAGACATTCTGAGGGGGAGATTTTTGATGAGGGGGACCCCTGGTAGCTCAAAATTTGGCAAACCAAAAAAATCTGAGCAGATTGCAGTTCGCTAAATCGGTGATTGTCAGCGATTGAAAAGAGGCACTCTGGACCTCAAATGGAGGCACTTTCAATCCTCCATCACCCCCCATACACACATACACACACAAGTCTCTGATAGAAATTTTCATCATCTATATATAATGGATTTATTTTAACTCACTATGCTTACCAAGCAGTGTCTTTGACATTGTTCCTCTCCCCGACATTGCATAGATGCTCTGTGACGGCACTGCAGAGGGCGCCAATACTTCTACTTCTGCGCTAATACAGAGTCGCAACACTCTGCCAGGTTGGTGTTATTCCGCTATTTGTCTGTGATGTTGAATTGACAGTTTATCCCTCATCTGCTGTGAGGGGGGATTGTCCTCTAGTGGTGACGTGCTTTAAGCCTCTGTGGTCAATTTAGGCTACATGTAGTTAGTAATAACAATGTTGCATTCTGTTGTGTCAGCTGGCGGGCAAGCGGGGAAGCAGGCGAATCAAGCCGGTAAGACGAGCAAACGGGGTTTATTTTGGCAACACAGGACTGACGGCGACTAAACATTACAACACGACAATGACTGATCTGGGGGGATAACGATTGAGACACGGACTAAATACACAAGACTAGGCAAAGGGAACAAGAAACAGGTGATAACAATCAGGAATTGACACGAGGTAACGAGGGGGCATGGCACACACGAGGATCGTACGGAGCTGGGCGTGACACATTCTGTCCTATGTTTTGCAGGAATTAACACAATGTTTGTTTTTTTTTGGTTGCATAAAACATCTCATTTTTAATCTGCAGAGAAGATAAAATTTTTGATTATGTCCCTGGTGGCTGGAGGCAAATGGAATGGACTGGACTACTTAAAATTTTTTAACTTCTTAAAATGATTCTTAAGATGATGTTATATGAGTCACTGCCATACTGTAAATGTCGTCTAGTAAAACACAATGTAGTTTACACATTTATTCTGGACTGCCCACATTCCTAGAAGCACAGGTAATGCAATAATCAATGAAGGCCTTTTAGCTAAAAGTCTTAGACAGAGACACACCATGCGAGGATAAAACAAGACAGGCCACCTAGTCCTCTGCTGTCCAGGCCTGCCCTGTTGTATCTCCACATTTATAGAATATCTCAGTAAGACTGTAGCTCACAACAAAACTTCATAGTTTATTCTTTCTCGACCTTTCCTTATGTGTAGATCTTCTCTCCAACAGTGAGGTTTAATTATGTCATTTTGCTTCACACTTTCCAACGTCATTATGCCAGTCAAACAGAGAATGGATGAAATGCACAAATCAACCTTTATTATTCTGATCTTATGATTCAATTAACATTTTTCAGATACATGTAGGTGAAGGAGTTCCGCTTCCCGGTTTGCTCCCCAGAAGTCTGGTCTCATCGGATGAACGGTGCCACAACTGCTCCTGCCACCCCCCCAAAAGCCACCAAACCAGTCTTCACAGCCACAGAGAGCCCAGCTGCACCTGTGTATATAGAGATATTGTGTAGCATTTGGCTCACAGCCTCACTGTCAATGTCACTGTCATCTCTCACTACCTCACTGACAATGTCACTGTCATCTCTCACTACCTCACTGACAATGTCACTGTCATCTCTCACTGCCTCACTGTCAATGTCACTGTCATCTCTCACTACCTCACTGACAATGTCATCTCTCACTGCCTCACTGTCAATGTCACTGTTATCTCTCACTACCTCACTGTCACTGTGTATAATCTCTCACTACCTCACTGTCTATTATCTCTCTTTACCTCCCTATCAATGTCTATTAGGTGTAGGGGAAAAATCAATTCAGTTACAAATAGTGATTCTTCTTTGAGGTGGCAATGTTTATATCGCCACCATAGTTAAAAATCAATTCTTAAACTTCAGTTTCAACATAGGCTACTGTAATTACATTGCCCACATTTGTTACATGGCCCGATTTTGTTAAAGGAATGATGTATGTAACTCTAGCAGGGTGCTCTCATGAATAAGTGTGTGTAAAGACTTCTCTAGCACCCTCTCAATTTAAGTTAAGTTGAAGTAAATGGACACCTAGACATAAGTATGGCTACCTGCTTAGGTTCACAGGTCACTGCAATTTTGGTACAGCAGGTAAACTAATTTGTTTAGATTTTTTTAATTATTAAAATTGCAACCACTGTATAGAAACATTTATGAACCAAATATAAGGCATCATGTGTGTGAAAAACTAATGCTAAGAGATGCTTTTCTGCACATTGCAAAACTACAATTATGTATCTGCATTGTTGAGGGTGTGAGGGAATGACTGATTCACACAGAAGTCCTTACCGATGCTCTGCAGGATAGCCACAGTGCTGCCGGCGGCAATGCCACCACCATTGGCCACTGCAGCAGCTGACATCATCGACGCAGCAATCGAACCAGCAGCCACACCTGCACCAGTAAAGCCAATTGCCCCCAACACTACAGGGGTAGCAGCCACACCAGCAACTGTGAGAAAGAAAGTGTCTTCATTCCTCTACAAAGACTTAAGTTTTATTAAATCATATTAAAATGTATTTCCAGAAAAGTTTGACTAAAGCGCTGTATAGAGTCAATCTAAACAAAGACATTCATACTAATCAAAGGGAAAAGATGGGTTTTCAAACTGGATTTAAAAGTGATCAAAGTAGATTATCAATGCAAAATAATGAGGGGAATCCAGGTGTGGCCTTTGTCAGTGTGTGAAATGGACTTGGACATGGTGACACAATAATTAGTCTCTTTAGATTAGTACACAGTGTCATTCATCTTCGGAAAGATAACACTCATCTTGGATTTACGTCTGCAGTGACATTCATTTCAAATGAAGCAGCCTCTGCTATACTGACCTGCTCCCAAGACACCTAAAGCAATAGCCGCTAAACGAAAAATAGAAACATAAGTTAGCAGATTGTAATATAATATTGTGACAAGTCTATGACATCACCACCATATATATGTATGAGTGTGCATTTGTGTGTGTGTGTGTGTGTGTGTGTGTGTGTATGTATATATATATATATATATATATACACATACATA